ATCGCCGACCATCGCATACGAACCTCTTGATTGTTGTAATTGAAGCTGCAAAAAACGCTGAAGTATGTTGCTGAAGTCCAAGAACAAGCTGTGCGGCGTTTCGAGTGTGATGATCGCAAAACGAAGGATCGGGTTCGAGTCCTCTAGGCGCAAATAAAAAGCGCAGTAAGCAATAATATTTTTGAAAAGAATTCAAGTGCAAGTACGCCCTTCTTATTTCGGGTTTTTATTCGCCACCCCCACCCCCCATTCAAAGAAAGAAGAAATTTCTGAGGGATCGAGTAGATTTCTACGATTCTACGAGAATGTACAAAATTGTGCTGCTACAGTTGCTTACATGACGCCTCAAAGTGTCAAACTTCTAAAAATGTGGGCGGAGTTGGAGGTGTGTCAAGTGGTACAGTGACTTTATAAACACCATCAATCATGAAACCAGAAAGATAAAAAATTGCAAGCAGGCGAGCTTGGGATCTCTCAAACCACCCCCGCTCATCACTGAAATACAAAGCATTTCCAGCAGCGAATTGAACACGATTCTTCACCGTTGCAGGGGTTTGATCAGGTGCACAAGAGAATAGTCGGAACAATCAATCCCTTTTCTTGTCGTGGTTAGTCACCGGACAGGATAGAGATGCTTGCGAAGGTCGCAGATGCACTGTTTGAAGGGCTTGTATGTTGGCGATCAGGGCGGTAGAGCCCGCCAATGCTCCCGATTAGCGGGTTTGAGTGGTTCTGCTATTCCTCGCTATGGAAATATCCGTCCCTGTCGTAATGGATGCTCTCTCGCGCATTTTCTCTTCTCTGCAAATCATGTCTTTCTGTCTTACCACGACCAACCTCACAGACAGTGTAAGGTCGGAATCATGGTGCTTTTCTCAATTCCTTTGGCTCTTTTATCATTTTCTGTCCATTGCACACTTCCAGCTTCATTATTGAACGTTCTTAGAGGCAATCTCAAGATAATTGATATGGTTCTTGCATACGAGTACGACTGTATTGGTGCGAAATAAGCAGTAAAGGACAAGGAGAAGAATCTGTCGAATACGCCTAGGTTATGGGCTTACTCACTGGACGTGCCAAAGCAATGAGAGACTAAGTGCGGAGAGGAGAGTATGAGGCGAGAGAGCGTAACGGGTACCCGACAGGAAGCCCGTCGCGCGGTAAGAAGGCAAAGTCGGCGGACGAGTTGCAAGGCGTGATGGGTCTAGGACGCACATTCTATAACACTTGAATCAAACGAACAAAATCACAAGCAATTATGCGCTGCGACTTCGTCCGCAACTTGCCCGGCCCGTCGGGCTCCTATCAGGTACCATGAGTCCACTAATGTGGGGGCGGGGCGCAGCCACAGTCGACAGAAACAAAAACAGGTGCAGCTGCTGAGTACCTCCACTGCGGCAAGGTCCTAGCGCTGCGCACGAAGAATCGTCACTATTGTGATCTCCCTCTAGGGCTCTAGACACGGTGCCGAATCGCTCTCACCAATTCTGCCTGGGTTGTGCTATTTCTGAATGCATTCCTCCTCATCAAAAACTTCACTACCTCTCGTAGATCAATCCACATGTTTGTAAATCCAACGGAAAATTGCTAAGTTCCAATGAGCATGGTCCTTTTACCCGTACTCGATAGCTGATCACCCATGACGAGTACCATTAGGGAATGAACATCAAACAGAAAACATGCCTAAACATGACATGCGCTTATGGTATTTAATGCAAAAGCCCTAAAGACAAAATGAAGAAGGATATGAACAACGTCGAACAATGAAGGCAAATCAGGTTAAATATACCAAGGAGAGATCACTTATAACTTCTGGCTATTCGAAGAAATAAAGTTCTGCGCCAAAAAAGAAAATGGAAAAATCAAAATATAAAGGTCACCTGAAGGGTGAGTCGTGTATTTGAGCAACTTTACTATTTATAAAACAGCTGTTCGGCGTCCACAAACGGTCGAGCACCTGATGATTCAATGAGAGATTACCTGAACAGGGTCAGATATTTGAGAAGTTATGCGCCCGCTCTTTCGAAACCCGATGCGTGTCGACTGCAGACCACACATCACAAAAGACGACGCCTTCCACAAAGCAAATGTTTTCTGCCAATGAAATGATTAGCCTGTTGCAGTTGTATTCTATCAGTTGACTAATTACAACTATCATTTACCAAAATCAGCTATCACTATGAACACTACTAACCAGATTTACTTGGAGGCCGTCGTCAGTTGTGGTGTGTGGTCTGCATTCAACGCGCATTTCTTTTCAGAAGCGCAGTAAAAATGCACAAAGATGGGCGATGTTGAAATCGTCTGACTTTGCGGGAGACTTGCTTTTTGAAAGGAGACGGAGAAGGCGGGTAGGGAAGTTCTAAACTCATCCACCTTCAAGCTCGATTACCTTCAAATAATAAGCAAGTTGTTCTTCACCTTCCTGTGGCTGCTCGGCGAGTCAAATCTCGGCGCTAGTGCAAAATACGGGGCCATCCTCGGGAGCTAAGAATAAGGAGGGGGAGTAACTTTTGGGAAAATGAAATTGCTTGTGCGCCCTGAAGCCTCTACTTCCCCCCCCCCTTAAGGCTGGTTCACATTCTTAACAAAAGGCTATATTCTACGCGATTCTGAACGCATTGCCATCACAATGCCCATGCACCTTGCGACAGCACCTGTCAACTAGTAAATGCCAATCCACACTTGCGGCTGGCTCCGTCAGACTTACCCATGTCTTACAGCTCCAGGCGACCAATTCGCTGCAAGAATGCTACCTAGAAGACTCCCGTAGGGATAGAGTCCAATTCCCGTCAGTAGGACCAGTACGCATATAATTTTGAGGGTTGTTAGCAGGTTTCTTCGCTTTTTTACGGTAACTGGTTAACCAATCATCGAGACGTCTTTTCTTTCGGACATAGTTAACTATACCTATTCAATCGAACGCGTCTTTAAAGGACGAATTCACGATGAAAAAGCAACCCATTTCAAATTAACCTAGGGATGGTGAGTGGTACACGAAAGAAGGAAGAACCATGAGAAACGGCCCAGAACCCGAGAAATGGGACCCCTTCCTTGCCCGTTGATTCGAGCATTGATGCGACTCTCATCGCTGTGCCCTCTTCAACACTACGCTCTCTCAGCTATCTAATCACTCGCCACGTATTGAACTACGGCGAGTGATCAGATGATCGGTGGGCGGAGATCGCCGGACCCGCCAGCTTTGAGGCATGATAGGTCGCCGAGGTCAAATTTTTCCATGCGAATTGCGCGTCAGTTCGCACCCTCAGGAGGTCCGTGGGTCCCTCAACTAGGTCAGTTTCCCTTTCTTCGACCTTCATTCTAATCGTGAATTCCTCCTTTAAAACCCAAAAGTCTGCCGAAATGATAATATAGGAGAGATACCCACCTTTACAGGGTGAGAAGTCGTTCAAGAATTAAGCTGCTGATTCAAAGCCATTTTTCCCGTGATGTAGATGTCCATTTCGAAGTCGTTGGTAAGTTCATCAATGGACGTGATTGCCTGGATCCAAATCTCCACATAGACGGTCATACCTTCGTCTTCTGCAATGATTATTCAATAGTTGGGTCAGTCAGACTCCTCTGCATGGGGTCCCAGTCTACTGTAGTCGGTAACTCTTTCGTAATCCCTCCAAAGTCAAACAGGTTTTTCCAGTTTGAAATCTGTGCTCCAGCCCTCATTTTCGAGCTTGATTTTTTTAAAAGGGTTACAATGAAGTTGGTGTGCAAAGTAAAAATTCGTCCAACTCCCCCCAAACAGAGCGAAATGTGCTACTGTTTAGTGCTATCTAAGAATTGAAATAAACTTTATGCCACATGTTTTTTGTTGTTGCTTGTTGTTGTGCAAGGAACCGAAACCTTGAAAACACTTCATTCTCGAAAAATGCGCGTTTTGTTCGCCTTTTTCTGCAGAAAATGAGCAACTCGTTAAGATTTGGAATGGTGGAGATTCAAGCAGGCGAACACGCGCAGAGGTAGCCGACAGGAGCCTGTCGCGCAGCGAGAGAATAGGCGACGCAGATCGATCGCGGAATAGTGCAGCGCGTACTGGTAGCGGATCCAAACGTCAAAATAGGGCCGATGTCATAGTTTGCGAATCGAGCGATTCGCTAGCGAATCGCTGGATCCGAGCGTTGCGCCAGCGAATCGAACGTTGCACCAGCGAGTCGAACGATGTACCAGCGAGTCGAACTAGGTACCAGCGACTCAATAGTGGGGGCCAACAATTTAAAGGAAGCCGCGCCACTTTCAAACAGTGGCACGTGACAGTGGACGCTGTTTTGTAAAAGGTGCGGACTTTGCAGTGTCACACTGTGCTCGTGAAATGTGGCGGCTTCCTTTAAAGTTGGGTCCCGCCACTATTGAGTCGCTGGTACCTAGTTCGACTCGCTGGTACATCGTTCGACTCGCTGGCGCAAAGTTCGATTCGCTGGCGCAACGCTCGGATCAGCGATTCGCTAGCGAATCGCTCGATTCGCAAACTATGACATCGGCCTCCCAAATAAAGATATTGCCATATGTTAACGGCCCACCCACTAACGCGGTGACAGGACTCGTCGCGACCGTTCTGGCATCTCTGTCTCGCCAGTAAGCAGCGCTCCTGTCGTATTCTTAAGCGCGCCATAGGTCATCTAATTGGGTAGCTAGCCTCTCTATTTTAGGCATATTCTAATCTTCTCAATACCAGTAAACTACTGATTTTTGTTTGGCATCAGATGTGTACTCAACAAAGTTAAAAAAAAACATTCATATACATCAGCTAATCACCCTTAATTAATCGTTGAACAGACACGTAAATACGCTTGAACGATTTCGCGGACAAAGCCAAATGCATGGCATTAAAAGTGAAATAGTCAACAGCTACCACTTTAGTGTTTAGGTTTTGCTTACGTTCAAGCTCAATTTGAGATGCGAAAGAGTCATGTGGGCGATAAAAAGGATGAAATGAAGAGCTTGATAATCTCAGTGAAGACGACTAACGTGGTATTCGAAACTTGTTGTATCCAGTGCCATTGAGAAGTTGATCAATGATATCGGTGTCTCTCGTGCAGTTCCTGAAAAAGTTCATGGATGGTATGGCTAGGAAAACTGCCTTGCCATTTTTCTCTCCAGGAGTTCAAATCAAATCTAAATCGAATACAGGTGCTATAACACGTTAAGTATGGGCCACGGCCGCATTTTTTGAACAGAAATGTATGTAAGTGGGACTGCTGCCCGCTACTATACTGTCACGAGAATCGGGGAATTCGTGAGCCAGGGGGAGTGTAGCCAATCTAGGGGTGGGGGGTGAGGGCAGTCACTTGACATGCGTGAAAAGCTGGGCGTGCCCACCCCACTTGTATAGCACCCGAAAATACATCAAGAGAGACGGAATAACTTCGTATAGCATACATTATTTTGCGCGTGCGTAACTGGATGTGTGTTCTAGGTGACGAGACCAAAGAAGGCAAAACACGCGAAGGGAGCACGCTGATCTCACAACATCAATCGCGGTAGATGAGGAGAGTTGAGATGATCACTATCCCTTAACGATTAGCGCTCTGACCGCAGACTTAAAGGCAAACTCCGGGATAAAACGAGGGACTCACCTGTTCGAGTATGAAGAGCTGGGTGCTAAGTTGATCGAAGGTAATGAAAAAAGCAGGAAATACCTCCAAAGAACTCCAAAATTAGAAATTTCCTCTTCGTTAGTCGCTTACGAACCAGGGCTGGGAAAATTACGTGTTTGGACATGTCTACAGCAACTGTTGGCTTTGTGCCATCAACCGACACGGCCACAAAAAGTCAGCAATGAAACTGATTTTCTCTAGTTTCCCTATTTTTTCTATTTTTCTGTGCTTTTTTTGTTTGCTTCCTATCTTAAAATTTTTTCTTCTCACTAGAATGATGACAACGTTCTCGAAAATGGTCGTAACATAGGCTTTGATGTTGATTTTCGCAGTTGAAATCCGCTAAATATTCCCCTACGACTTTCCAAACAACGGCTAACATCTAGCGTTCCAGGTGGTTGTTTGGAAGATCACGTAGGACGGTGGGCGGGCTCAATGGGTTGGGGCGGCGCCAATGCTCCAACCTAGGCTCCTAGCGCCTAAACCTTATCAAACGCCCCGCCACTTCTGCACATGGTCTGCCCTTGCGTACTGCTCCATATTTGACGGGGAAAACCTAAATTTCGCCAGAAATCCCGGAATTTGCCTTTAAATTCACTCGTGGCGCGGTTTCTACTAGGCAAGTAATAATCCCATGGTTTGCCTTCAGTAATCAGCGAGAATGCAAGGCACAATTTCCATAAAATTTAGGGAACGTTTCATGGAAGCAGATGAACTCGAAGGACTTGCTCGCTCGTAGCAATTCGTACGATTCGTGTGGAATCCGTACGAACCATTCCGTTTATATCTCAATACCTTTTATTCAACCATCGCCGCGCGCCATTCCCAAAAGCATTTAAACTATGCTAGAATTCCCAAAACATTTAAATACTCGTCTCCTGCTCGTTTATACTCGACCACAAAACACACCTGAATCGCACGGGTTTGTGGTGGGTTTCTGATGAATGCGATATCTCCATGACGTCGTCTTCAAGCGAGTTGTAGTCGTTATCGATGACGGCACCTGTGACGGCGATCAGCCACGACGCCACGATTGCTGGCCATTTCATCTCGGTACGCTCTCAGTTGGCCAGTGTAGGCCCCCAACACGACAACGAATGGCTGGCTGCCTTCTGCAATGCGAGCCTCAGTTTCAAGGAAACAACTTGTGGCGGAACAATGACGGCTTACTTCGAATTCGGCGACATTAATTGGTTCATTTTCCCGGAGATTCCGTGGAAAATGACTTTTCCATAAAACTGTAAATGGCTGGAGGAAATGAAAAAGAATGTAATTAGATGATGTGGATGATCCTGGGAAGAAAACAAGTTTATGAATGGAGAAGAAGCTCGAGGACTTTAATTAAATCAACACACACGGAAGTCACAAAGCTGTCAACATTGCAGGAAATACCAAGAAAATTTTGTGGGCATTCAAGTGCTTCCCATTGGTAAATAACTGAAGAGTGCGCCATGCATGTTGTTTATGTGGCTGCATTTGATAGGTTTCATTTCTTGAAACAAAGTAAACATTCCTCTCCATAGCTCCATTGTAATCATAGGCTCACAGATTTAGGAGCCAACATGGTAGAAACTTCATTTGGGGGTGGGGTGGGGGGTTTGATTAAGATGGAAAGGGAGCAGAACTACCCATGGATCCGGTTCTGGTATTTGCATACTAGCTTACATCAATAACATGTGCTGAATAAAATATAAGTTCCTGAAATGAAGGTATACTGTAAATATTATTATATACGTCAGGGCGACGCTCTATTTCCGAGAACCAGATGTACGTCGAGTGCAGACCACACACCACAAGTGACGACGGCCTCAAGTAAATCTGGTAGTAATTCATAGTGATAGCTGATAGTTGGTAAATGATAGTTGTAATTAGTGACAACTGATAGAATACAACTGCAACAGGCTAATCATTTCATTGGCAGAAAACATTTGTGGAGGCCGTCGTCACTTGTGTTGTGTGGTCTGCACTCGACGAGCATCTTGTTTTTGGAACATGGTACAAGCGATGTAGTGAAAAGTAGCGCTGCTTATTCGCGAGCGCGGTCCGGGTATCACACTTTCTGTGCCGTGTGCCGCCAAAGGAAGCAGGATTTTTCAATATCCCACCGGGGTTGGTTTATTTGCTACCAGGCAGGCTATAGAAGAAATAAAAACACCTATCCTTAACAAGCATGTGTGAATCCAATCACGCTCAACATCGCCACTACATGTTGTGGCTGCAAAAGAACAAATCAGCAGTTGAAATTTAAATGGCCTTATAGATTCCGAATTCATTATATTATACCAGTTTTGCTTCGCCCGCTATCGCGCGCATCACACGGCAGGCTTTAGCGAAATTGGAGGACCCATGGAATATCAGCATGAGATACTCCATTAACCATCTCACTATTGACTGTGTTAGACCCTCCACAGTTTCACTGAAGCTCATCGAGAATACGCGTGATAACGTCTGAGCTGAACTGGTATATTGATCACAACTCTGTAAACATCCAGCATTTTTCTTGAATTAAGATAATTTAGCGGTGAATAGGATTGCTGTCAGTCTCAAAACGAAATATGCCTATTTACATAAGTGAGGAGCTAATGCTTATCATTCATTTACATTCATCATTATTTAGAACCACGAAAGGATTAGCGGTTTAATGAGTTTGGGTTTTCTTAATAGTCAGAAATGAAACTTATCATTTGCTGAAGACTTGTTTTTTAAAGTTTATGCAGTCGAATTCTATTAAGTAAGCTGGATATATATCGAAATAATGTGCACGTACCTTTGTTTGTACTACTACGACTTACTACAATTTGTAAGTAGGAACGCTCTAGTGTCAACGCTGCGTAACGGAATTGACGACTTTTGCGTTCTGACGCGCCTTATCAGCCTTATCAATCGTTATCAGTTTCTGGCACCCACCAACAATGTCCCCGTCCCACCCCACATAACACTTGTAAGTATGAACGCTCTGGTGTGACGACTTCAGCGTTCTGGCGCGCCTTATCGGCCCTTATCAATCGTTATCAGTTTCTGGCACCCACCAACAATGTCCCCGTCCCACCCCACATAACACTTGTAAGTATGGTTGCTCTGGTGTCAACGCGAGCCAGGCAACGGAATCGACGACTTTTGCGTTCTAGCGCATCTTATCAGCCATTATCAGTTGCTATCGCTTCCAATCATGTACCACCAATGTCCCGGGACCGCCCCACATAAGACTTGTAAGTATAGACGCTCTTTTACCAATATGAACGGCAAAACGAAATTGGCGATGCTCGCTTTCTAGCCCCTCTTATCAGCTATTATCAGTCGTTATCAGTTCCTATCACGTACCACTTGTGTCCCCATCCCACCCCCTATAACATATGTAAGAACCACTGCGCTATCGTTACTGTGACTCGAGCTATGAATTTCCGGTCAAACACACACACACACACACCAACAGACACACGCTAGCCGCTTATATATAGTAGGATATACATTATATTAATGTATTATTACGTGCAATAGCATACATTATACGAAACTAACGAAAACGTGTATGTGCTCGAAGGACTTGCGTTCAAAATTCTTCTACTCTTTGGGAAATGAAAGCGCAATGGATAGAAGCGCTGAATTCAACGTGTACTGTACATAGGATCGGATCCTAGCACACCAAATGAAACTCGTTCACCTATTTTTGGGCTGCCTCTTCTTGTATGAATTCATCAGGCGAATAGAACGTATTATACAAGTACATCTATGTAATGGAGTAATAGTCCTGATTATGTTACAATCGAAGCTAGGAACCTATACGGAAAATGGGGTGTGTGGCGCATGCCCAAATAAATTGACCAATGGCTGGAATCGTTTAGCAACAGTTAAGTATTTATTTTCAAATCGACCTTCACTCATTCATACTGTCAATTGTTATCACTAAACATCAGTGACTATCACTACCATTATCCTTACTTACTCTTATCATTACTAATAAGTATTACATCAGGTAAACTATCGAGTCCTAAAGCTTGGAACGCAGCAAATGTTGCGAACGAACTTAATGGAAACGAAGGCGTGAAGGCATTCCCTCGATAGAAGAAGCATTCAGGCATGAGCTCACATGAAAAGGCTTCAGAAAATGAAGTGCAGAAAAATGAACAAAAATCGAAGGGTTCGCAAACTGAATTCTCGCGAAAGCTGCTTGCCATGCTGCCCGTTCCTATTTCAAAAGCTGGCTTCTCTTGTGGACGCTGTGAACTAAATATGAGCAAAGGCCGAATCGCTGGGATGCGCCATGCATGCGATCGATAGCAAAGTTTTTCCAGCATGTTGCATCGCGGAAGGAATTAGAGAGTCAACTAATCTCTATTGTAGTCCTTCGCTGTAGTTAGATCGTACAACTCATGATCGGTGGATTTGAAGCAGGAATTCATAGACCGCTTCTTATGAGAGCACGCCTCTTAACCAAGTGCAGAAATGAAGATAGGACGTTTTCTGTTGCTTGATAAACAGCCAAATTTGAACAGAAAATCTAAACACCGACAAGATTCCAACTCACAGCAATAAACCTACCCTCGCCTTCAATGACCAGAAATTGTGCAATTGCAGAAATTGACGTGGCATTAACGTGGCATCGATTCAAGAACATCTTTGAGCACACGTGACGTCACCTTTTCATCGAGAATTTAGCCACGTGTGCCAATGCCACGTCAATTTCTGCAATTGCACAATTTCTGGTCATTTGAAGGCGAGGGTAGATGAGGTTGCAGCCAAAGAATCGATGTATGTTGTGGGTGGGAAAGAGTAACCCACTAGGTACACACGTGCCGTTGTCGCGGCTCCAAAGTGCGCGACAAAGGCGCTAAGGCCTCACAAAGTGATCTTCTGCTCACCCGTTGCAAACTTGTGGACAAGATACATCGCCCACAACCGATGATACGCGGTGTGGAATACGACTGGCGGCTAATTTAAATACGGTGCGGCACAAGTTATTCGCCAAAACGATTTTCGGTGCATTATTTTTTCTCGCTTGAGCAGCGTCCTCCAAAGATTGATATACTAGGTTTTCTAGTGTTTTGATATCTTCAAGTCTCAAAGAATCAGGCTATTCGGTGGAAATATTCGAGGTCACCATTGATTTCTCCGGAAAAAAGAAGCAGGAGAAAGCGTTTCGGCTAACTTTTTTGACCACTACTGTATGCGCGGGTTCGTGGAGCCGGGTGGAGCAAGCAAGGTCGGAAAACTCGTCCAGCCCCGCCCCTCCCGTATTTCATTCAGGGAAAGAGGGCTTCTTCTGTTAATGGATTCATCAGCGATGCTTTTCATCTTTTTTTCAATTTCAGTCAACTTATCATCCACAATTCCATTATCGATCATTGTTACCCCAAAATTTATCTGAGCTTGTTACTTTCAGGGGTATCAGGGGTATGGCAGTAGAACCCATACTAACGAAATTTTTTCATAATAAATGCTTGATAGTTGTCCCGCAGAAGCTTTCTGAATAAATGGTAGTTTTTTCACGAAATTAAATTAACTTCTGCAGGGAGCCCTCGAAAAAAGTGAAAGCATCAATTAATTTAATGACGTTTAAATTCGCAGAAATTATCAGAGTATAGACTATTCTCGATGCAGAATAGATATAAGTGGAAATAAAGCCTACTGGTGCTCTGTGAACGAGACTACAGCCTCTTCAATACGAGTAGCACTTGAGCTCCGTGTGCATCACGCCCCATTGCTGAACGCCTATCCGGAATAATTCTTCGGGATAATTAGACATCTACACATGCAAATGAATTCATATATCATCACATAGAAGCATGAAAGAGGAAAGATTCAACGAATTCGAGGAAGGCGAGAATTCGGCTGAGGTTCAGCATTTAGCTCAGCATTTGACCTACGGGCCAGAAAAGGCCGCGTTCGGCCCACACATTCATCATTGCGAGCAATAGGTGAGCTGGCAGGAGCAGTGCAGTGGTAGCCCCAGCGAGAAAGGGGAGAGAAATGGAAAGCGAGGCATGTGCTAAGAAAAACATGATTACCAGATGATGTGAGATGATGTTGAGAGACGTGACACGAAATAAAA